CAGACAACCCCGTAACAATATGCGTTTTGTACTGCTGTTACACAGCACAAAACGCATAAAAATAGATTAACCGTGAATAAAAGCAAATATAAGTTTAAGATAGTAGATATAAAGACCCATTCTCAGTACAGGACTTCCCTGTTTATGATGCTCATGCTTAGCTGAAGCTGAGGACGAATAACTTCGACTGGATTTACAAAAAAATTCCGGTGGATTACGTCCGATAAAAAGAAAGGGAGAAAATTCCCTCATTTGTGACGATCAGGCTGAAGACCGTTAAAATGCGGTTTTTTACGAATGTTAAGGACATGAATTTTTCCCATCGATTAATTGAATGTTAGTTCATATTCCCCTGCGTATTTGTTATGCTGAGCAAGAAATTTGACATTGACTGAAGGCTAGCAAGAGTAGGTTTACCGGCTTAAATTCAGTGCTCTTTTTCACTGCCGAAGGTTATTGTATGGGATTTTTGCTTAAATCCAGTTGAACTTATTCGTTCTCATATTCGCCTAAGCATGAGCGTCACAAATAGGGAAGTCCCCTGCTGGCGACAAGTTTTGATAGGACAATTTCCATTCGGGTAGTACGAGGAGGAAGAGGCGCATGAGTCAGAGAAAACTGAATGCCAGATTACAATTGCTAAGCTTGCGTGCGAACCTAAAAACTCTCCGAGAGCAAAAAAAAAACAGTACCACAAACGGGTGCATCTTGCATGGCTGAACTAAGCCGAGTTTTAACAATTGCGTGGATGAATCCTGGTGGTAATTGTTTGCACATTTGTGCATGCCTAATCTGGAAGTTAGAACTGGAGAGCATCATGTCTTGGAATATGGTTACAGTTCAGAAGTGCCGTAAGACGTGAGTGCTGTTAGAAGTATTCATTCTGGATTATGAGTTGCACAACAAACTTATGTTCACTAATCATAACAAACAGGAGCTCCTGTAGGCTTCTGCGTAAGCGGATCCAGGGTGAGGGGAGAGGGCGAAGGGTCTTTCGACCCCTTCCCCCGCCTCGCAGCGGCACAGGCACCAGTGCTGCAAAAATCCGGATCTAAAGCTAAAACTAAAGTAAACTAAAGCCTAAAGTAACTCCAAACTAAAACA